TATATATATACATACATACATACATACATACATACATACATACATACATACATACATACATACATACATACATACATACATACATACATATATGCAGGGCCCTGGATTAAAGACTGGCGACCAAGTGCTCACCCTTGGCCAGTCACTCTGCACCAGGGAAGGGCCCTGGTAACCCTATCCCAGGCAGGATGAACTGTTTTCTACAACTTCTACTTGTAGGTGTTTTTAAAATGGTCTTTTCTGGTCCCTGACCAAGGACTAGGGTTGGCAACTGTCCTGTTTTAGCAGGGACATCCCGTATAATCAGCAAAATTGGTTCATCCCTTATTCTACTTTAAATGTTATGTTATGTATGATCATTACATGCAATGTCACATATAGTTGCATATTTACACTATGCCCAGCTGGTTGTGCATTGTGCTTCTGGCACTCCAGAGTGTCCCTTATTTGATAATTAAAAAGTTGGCAACCCAAACCAGGACCAATTTGCCATGGAAAACCCTACCAAGGGGGCAACCCCCTCACCTCCATGAAAACATAGCCCCTGGGAGACACAAACCCCTCCACCACAATAAGGTAGTAATTTTTAATATCAATAGTAAAAAGACAAAAAAAAGGAAAGGAGGAAAAAAAACCAATGAAAACAATTTAAAAAAAAACCCAACATGTTAATATGCCCTTCCTCCTTTGTCTGTCTGGATATTTTAACAGCTTCTTATTAATTATTATTTAAACGTTTATCTTTTTATTTCTTTATCGATTTAGACATATAAAAAGTAAAATTCATAATTTTTTACAACCGTTTGGAAGTTTTAACTTGGTAGATTTTCAAAATAAATGTAGCTAGTTCATCAAAAAAAAATTTCCGAAATGAAAAATAACCTATTATGAACAAAACAATTATAGACGTTGCTTTTTGATGAATTACGAGACATTTTTATTACACACTGTTGGCAAATAATTAATGTCGCAGGAGTGACAGTACATGTGTTTTCAGGAATAGAACGGAAGTATTTTACTTTGGCAGTGACTAGTTGGTCATGAAGTTTTCTTTCCGGGCAAACTGTTCTGACTTCCGTGTTGTTAACAGGGTTTAGCTAGTCCAATGTAGTGTACGATGAGGCCCGGTTAAGTAACGACAGAATTTGGGGAACTTTGAAGAGCCATAGGGATTATCGTTGATCCAGCACCCTTAAGACTTTCTGACCCGCGGGCAGGTCCGTATCACTTCCAGACCGCTCTCCTTCAAACACGATGAAGCTTTAACTTACCGCCGACTCACCCTCTGTAATGTTTACAGTTTACAGGTTTTAGGCTGGGAGATAAAAGCCATCGCGAGTTATCCTTCGTTTTTATGTTTAGTTGAGCTTAATATAAATAAATAGATTTGAGCCATTTAGTCTCCCGCCTGTGAGCGATCACATGATATTACATTGGCTTTTGCTAATCTGCGAGTGTGTGTTGGTCGACGGCTAAGCTACCTGTGCTATCGGGTTTCTCTGTGTTCACCTAACCCTAACCTACCATCACCATAACATTACAACCCCGATTGTTACTGAGCTACCTCGGTGTTTATTTAAAGCAGGATATTGTGGGTGTGATTTAACTGAGATCCGAGTTAAAGCAGAAGCGGATGTCTTCATTAAAGCCTCGATATTGTTGTGGAAGTTTCAGGTCAAAAATGTCAGCATTGGTGTGTTCACCTGAAGACAAGTTGGATATATTATTGGATTAATTCTTAAAGCCATTAGTGGTCATGCCATTAAAATCGCTAAATGCGACTTGGTGTGTCACTCCATCTCACATCATCAGCTTTGTTCAACATTTTCTGCTCGACCATGCCCGATTTGCCAGAACTTTGTTCAAAGTTTGGACACATGTAATGATTGCTATGAAATTTTACCCTCATATATCAAGTATTAGCAGTCCGGGATTCGGGTTAGGGTCTTACAATGCACTATTAGTCACACCTCATGTGCATCACATCCTGGTCTTGCAAGGCTACTCTAGTGAAATGGATCAATGAAAATGAAATATTTCATATATTTAAAACAATTTATTATCTTTGTTATATTTAGAAAGCCATCTGGAAACTTTAGAACTGTGTTTTGTCCGGAATAGACTGTTTTTGTGATAAAACTTAACATGTTTGTGTAAGCCAGCACGAAAATTGGATGTAAATGGCATTAATTTAGCATTCTTTTGGACATCATCTACAATTCAATTCAATCTACAGTTCGCAAATGATCATTAATTGTCTTTTGCAATGTAAAGCTTTTGCTCAAATGTGCAACTTTATTGGGCTGCTTGATGTTTTTTTTGTCTTTCTTCCTTTCTTTCTGAACTAGCCAATACTCGACATTTTTTGATGTATCTCTCTCAAATTACAGATCTTGGTTTACTAGTACAAAGCTCAGGCGTTTATCTTCAGTGGTTTTTCGTGTTCAAATATTTCCTCATTTTTTTAATGTATGGAAAAAACAAAAACGTATCTCATATTTCATTTTTCTATCGTTGCCCAAAATTATACCGGTATTACCATGAATGGTATGATATGGCCCAGCCCTAGCAACCATTATATATGTCCAAGCTTTGGACCATAACATTTTTTGGGAAATATGAGCTGGTCAAGCAGAAGATCTACGGTGAATTGAGATGGAAATAAATGCTTACACATGCACAAAGATGAAAGTGATCTGCTGACCTGTTTTTAGTGATTATTAACTGCTGCTGATGTGGGTGCAAAGGTCATGAGGACTGCTTTATCCTCTGTTGTGTAAACTGATAACAACATAAACTTCTACACTTTACTCCTCACACATTTCATCTCATCTCCTGCCTTTTTACCCCCCATTTGTACAGGAACTATGAATGCAAGCACATAGTTTACCTAGACTGACTTTTGCGAAAGCTTAAGTCAACCGGACTAACCGTGTTAAGTGCCCGAAGTGTACTAAACACTTTGTTCCGGACATCTGTTTATCTTCTACTTAAGTGCAAAGCAGCTGGCTGTAGCTATAATCTTCCCTATTTCTGTCTAATAAATATATTAAAGCAGGATTTAAAACCAAGCTTTGTACTAATCTAATCCTTTTTTTCCCAATGTAACTTTCTGTGTTTCAGATTTTTTATTTTTATTTATTTTTTAGATCACACCCACAAGTCACATCTGATGGGCCAGCAGTTAACAGTTGTTAGCAGTTGTTAACGTCCTTTGTGTCTGTACGTGGAACGTCAGCCAGCAATGGCCACTCATTTCCGTAGCTACATCTGGGACCCGGTCCTCATCGTGTCCCAGATCGTGCTGATGCAGTGCATCTACTACAGCTTTTTGGGCCTGTGGTTGGCTGGAGTGGACAGCCTTGTGCAGAGTAGTCGGTCATTGGACCAGATCTTCAGCTATCAAGTAAGTTTTAAGATATGCGTGCGTATGCATTTTTGTGTCGCATATTCGCTCTCTTAAAACTGTAAATGTTAAATGTTTTCTCTGCTTTGATAGGCTCTCGGTTTTGCAACCGTGCAAGGCAGGCTCTCAATGATGGCATTCATCTTGAATTCTCTTACCTGGTGAGAAATATCATCAGTCTTTTTTCTATACATCATAAATGGATGAGATTTGTGTGACAGCCAAACAGCATCCTGTTTTTCAAGCATCCCATGAGGCATTCATTATAAAAGGGTGTTTAGACCTTATTTACATCTGTGCAGTTACACATTTCGTTAAATGTAAAGGTTGAAAATTTTAAATGTTTACGTAGAAAATGGTCGACATTTAATGTACAGTGATACTCAAACTTTGGCATCTTTTCCGTGTCACTGTTCCTGCAGCGCCCTCGGTCTGTGGTTCTTCATCCGCCGAGGGAAACAGTGCCTGGACTTCACGGTCACCGTGCACTTCTTCCACATGATCGGCTGCTGGATATATAACGCTCATCTTCCAGCTGCCTTGTCCTGGTGGCTCGTCAACATAGCCTGCATGGCGTTGATGGCTGTAATTGGAGAGTACCTGTGCATGCGGACTGAGCTCAGGGCAATTCCAGTCAACACTGGACCGAAATCTAATCTGTGAATTTTCTTTGGTGACGGGCTGAAAGATTGTGAAGGGTAATCCTTGAGGGACTCACTGAGGAGGGTTTTTTTCCACCCTCCACTCTTGGAAAAGAAAAAGCACATGAACCTCTGTCAGCACGCATGTCGGATTTTCGTGCTTTGTCTGTTTCCATCAAGTGGTTCACCCTCCCGGACCTGATCTATTTATTCATAGCTGCACATTAAATATTGGACAGTGCAAATTTGTAGCATATTAAGACACCTGTTTTAAGTCTTTTGAAAGCACATGCCAGTTTACATCCTTCTCTAAACTAAATGACTACAAATGTTTTTTAAGTAAGTTTTTATGTTGAAATTCATTATTTTCATTCCTTAATTTTAAGACATTTTTTTCTGATTGTTGTTAAATTTAGCAGACATACACATACGCAAATTAAAAAGCTCTGTCCTAACAGCACTTTAAAGATGCCGGTGTGCAAACTTCACATCAAAGTTTTAGTTACTGCTTCTTAAAGCTGCTTTTAAACGTTAAATATGGGGAGAAATGTGTTTTTAGACAACAAAAAGGTACAGTGCTTAGCAGATTTATTAGATCATCTGTCACAAAGACAAATATTTTAGAAATCTGTCAAAAAACTTCACCTACAAAAACAAATGTTTCAAATCTGTAATGGATGTAAAAAAAACAACAACTGTAATTTGGCACCTTAATAAAGAAAAAGTGCTTTTGCACCATTTTAGCTCTTTTCTTTGGTAAAACTGTAAATTAGAAAATAATTGATAATAATTATATTTTAGTACTAAAAATATCGTTTCAGCTGCACACACTGGTGGATTAACCATTACAGAAAAATAAAAAAATATTTTTATTGGTAATTTAGGGCAGCTGTGGCATAAATCTTACACTGGTGGTCTAATAAATTTGTTAAGCACTGTATGCTAATCAGTAGGTCATCATGTAAATCCAAATATAGGAAAGATTTTATGCGTCATAATTGGGGCTCAATAAGTGGTCCAAAGTAATAAAAACCAGGCTCAATTTGATGTTTCCTACATTCAGCCTCCTAATCCTTGTTAAATGCTTTTCTTTTTGAGTCTGTACCACATTTTGCACAGCAAGCATTGTTGGGTTCTGTCTCTTTATGGCATGATGTATTATGCAAACCGTTTGGCCACTTCGGGGACAGTTTGTCAGCCACCAGCTGCGTTCTGACAGCTGGCTTTGTCTGTGCTTCTGAAAAATTGCTGTTCGGGGAGGATGTGATGGGGAAAGTCCTAAAACGTGCGGCTCTGATGTCTTTTTTTTTTCCTCCTTTTTGGAGCAGTGTCAGACTGCTCATTTCGCTGGTGATGTTTAAACTCTTAACAGAATTGACTTTTTGTCTTTAATGTGTTACAGCTCATGCTACACACGCTCGAGATGCTCTTCTTTAGACTGTCAGTTTAAAACCTTTGCAGCTTTGATGGTGCGGATGATGCAGTGTCTTGCTTTGCAGTCACGTTTTCCTAAGGTGTGAAATGAGTTTATAATTATGATGCAGGGGGCGATATTGGAAGGTGCAGCCTCAAATTGGAAAGCAGCTCCCATTCAAGCTGCTTTGAGTAGGAACAGAAAAAGCTAGCCTGTCCAAAGAATGTAATCCATCACCTCTCAAGGTAATTAGCGTGGTATATCGATGACTTGTTGTCTTAAATATGCATAATATTATAATGAGGGAGGTCTTGCCTGAGCTGCTAGTAAGCAAGAAGTGAAAAGAGTCAGGATTTCTTCCCATCCTCCCATTTAAGCAGTAGCTTCATATTTACTCCACAGAAGAGATGTCAGGCTTAAAGTCCACTTTGATCTTATGTGGGCCGAACAAGTAAAACTCCAGTTTCTGTCCGTGTACACATTTCATCTTAATGTAAGATAAAAGTGCAATTTTAACAGTATGACTTGGGTTTTTTTACATGATAAAGAAATGCAACGCTATTGTAAATGAAAGAAAACCTGTCAGTGCAACCTGTTGGGCTTCACTGTAAGAAGTAAATGTGTAAAATACAGGAGTCTGTAACTTAATTACTTTGGTGTATTGTGAATGGCAGCGGGGGAGGTCTTATCAGTTGGAAAAGATGTAAAACTTGTGGGGAAAAAAAACTGTAAAAAGTTTAACATTTATGTCCTCCTTCACTTTCAAAGCCATCCAATCGGCCGGATTGGGGTCTTCACCCGACCCGACCGATTCTGGCTCCTGGGCCTTATGTTTTACACCCCTGCTCTATATAAGAGTGAGCCAACTCTTACAAAAAGGTGAACAACTGTTTCCCGAAATCTCCACAAATTACTTTATTTTTACTTTGTACAAACTCGTGACTACTCTTTCTAAGTTGCTACTTTGTTATCTAGCAGTGGAACCTCTGAAAGTGTTCACATCACCTTTTGTATCTTGGATTTTTTTGGTAATGTAATTCAATATACAAACTCTGGATAGATCTATTCACATCATTAAATTCCTTGGGGAGAAAAAGAAATTGCAGACGGTGTGCGAATTTCTCCTTTCTGGAGATTTAAATGTCTGCACATCTCATGTTGATTATATTAAAAGGGTAAAGTCTTGGAGAGGAAACTGCAGGTGGAAAAACAAAAAAGCAAAAACAAACATTGGCCATCATGCTTCAGACATCAAACATGGCTTCTCTAATGAGGGTATTTCCACATGCATGTCTTTACTTCTCCAAACCTTTTCTGCCCTGGGCCTTGATCCCTCGCTGCAGGAAGTGTCCAGGTGGAAAGCAGCAGATGGGAGAGCACTAACGAGTTGAAAAACGCTGGTTGCAGTCGTCCTTACCCCCACTTTGCTCCGGGGATGACTAAAAACAGAAACTGTAATAGATGGGTTAAAAAGGATCGGCTGCAATCAGTAAATGTACCACCAGTTTCCATCTTAGTGCTGTTACTCTTCTGAAGCCAGTGAGCACACGCTTAGGTTTTAAACATTGTGCTTTATTATTATAAACACATTACTTTTCCATATATTGCTTTATACAGTCTTGTAAATTGTGTATTAAACTGAAAAAAACCAAACCCTCACATGGATACTGAACTTGGTTTTACATTCAGGAGTTCTTTCCATGTTTGAGCTGTCATTATTAGGATTACTATGGTATCATCATGCTTTGTTCAACAGCAGGGAAAAAAGTCCCCTCTTAAGAAGTGACTATTGTATTGCTCATGCTTTGAGGACATCACAACTTTTTTTTTTTTGTATTGTTACCCCCAGGTACACAGTGGATGACGTAACAGCAGTACAAACCTCTTTCTAAAAAAGCTGTGGCATTAGGCAAAAATATCAATAAAAACAGAGTGCATTGTTTTGCAAAAAATTTAAACCCCGTAATTCATGAAAGTACGTAGTCCAAAATAAACATTCTTTAACTTTGTTATTTTTAAATATGTTCTCATTTTAAAGATGATGCTGTTAAACTACTGGACAGGCGAGTAAAATGACTCTTAGTAAAGAAAGCGTCCCAGAAAACTATGTTAGAAGTAAGGATGGTGCATAATATCACTGAAAGGTTCAGAGAAAATCCAAAGAAATCTCTGTATGCAAGTGAAACGGCTAAAAGCCAATGTTGAAGGTGCGCCCTCACGTAGCACTGCATTAGAAATAGACATGATTATGTTGTGAAGATCAGTATAGCGACTCAGGACCACTGTCAGAGAACAGGTTTGTCTTGTCATCCATAAGAATAAATTAAAACAAACAAAAATAAAGAAACATCCTGATATGTTGTCTTCTCTGGTAGTTGCATAAACTATTAAATCTTACCACCTACATACTAGCAACCATGATATGGGAAGCATTAGTATGTATGGTATGGTAAATTGCAGATATACTATACAGGACAAAAGTATTAGGCCACACCTCTTAACGTTTGAATTTAGGTGTATCAAATCAAGCACGTAGCCACACCTGCAGTCTGCTTGTGAAAGAATGGGTTGTTCTCAAGAACTCGCTGAGTTCTTGAGAACTTAAGTGCTGCCCTGTAGTAGGATGTCGTTGTTACAACATTAGTTGTTACTTTGGGTTTATGCTTTTTGATCTATGCTCTAATTGTCGCAACCACAAATCCCCCTTAAACCCTGAGCCATAACGTGATTCGACTACATGTCAGCTATTGTGACTGGCCTGTTCAGTCCTGTTGATTTTTCCTTTTGAATTTATCCATGTGAGAATAACAATCATTACCTCATTAAAAGGAAAAATAATCATATCTATATGAAGACTCATAAATGTCAGCAAATTCCTGGAGGAAAATTGCTTAAGCTATTCTCCCCCAGAGTAACAAATATGTTTGGACCCTCAAAAAAACTGACTTCAATAAGAGGAGGAAAAAAATCCCTGCAGTTTATTTATTCCTATCACCTGGCACCGCATATAAAACACTGAGACATGACCACACATAATGCACCAGCACAAGCACAAATGACATCAGCCACTTACGTACGTTACGTTGTAGGCTCTACAAAGATTCCCTGCAGAAGTCTAAATCAAGAGTCAGTGGTATTATTGCAAAGTGGAAGCGTTTAGGAACCACAACAACTCAGCCAACGAGTGGTCACATAAAGATACAGAGCAGAGCTGGCGAGCGCTGAGGTGCATAGTGCGTAAAAGCTGCCAACGCTCTGCTGTCTTAGTAACTGCAGAAAGCCTCCTCTTGCATTAACATCAGCACAAAAACTGTCCACTAGGAGCTTCGTGGCACGACTTTCCATAACCGAGCAGCTCCTGTAGGTGTAACATGTGGGTGGCCCAATACTTTTGTCCATCCAGGCATCATTAATGTTAAACAGGCTTTAAAAGAACGTATGGTGGCATCTTCTGCAGAGAACAACTGAACTGTTGAGCAGGTTAACGAGCATAAATTGGGAAAAAATTGATTTCAGAACTACATTTGGTTTTCTCAGCTTCGAAATGCTTGTGGAGTGTTGTCTCAAGAAGTGATGAACACGCTCTTATCTCAAGTGATTTTGAGATGTGACATTCGTAACTATCCATCTCATTATATTTAGTATGGTGTGTTATATTTATTTTAAATAGGGGTTTACATGATTTCCAAATCCAAACATTCTGTTTTATTTGGCTCTTCCCACCTTTTTTGGAAAAGGGATTGCACTTTGAAAGATGAAAGAAATAGAAACAGAGCAAACATGCTGATGGAGTCTAGGTAGGTATGGGGGTGAGGATAATACATCTGCATAACAAAGGATGCAGGCACACTGAGGAGCTAGCGTAACTTCATGCACAGATCAAGACCACTGTACGCCATCTCCGAGGTAAAATTAACAATCTGTCCATTTTTCTGAAGCACTGTCACAAAAATCACCATGCACTTGTGATAACATAAACGACTGAATGATCCAACTTTGTTAAGATCATTTTTAAAGTAAATATGTATATATGGACACAGTTTGGGCAAAACAAACAAAAGAGAAACACTATTTCTCCAACATTTGAATTTACTCCGAACCAAAGGGCTTGATGCTGTTTTAAGAATAAACACCGTTTTTTTCCATGACACATTCACCAAAATATTAATCACAAAAGACAATTACTACTCATGACATCTCATAGACTTTTGTGCTAAATAGATGCAAGTTATTACACATTAATCTTTCTGTTTCTGAAGTTTGTTATTATTCTCACAATTTGACTTAACAGATAAAAAAAATTTTTTAGAAGAGGAGAACATTGTTTGATATATCAAACACATATTAATGATGTAATCAGTAGAACTTTATGGCAGATTTGTCTTTGAAAAGCCACCCACGTGTATTCTGTCATCTACTGGAGTATGCAGACTACTTTAATGCACAAGGTTAGTAATAGGATGTTAATAGCAAGTGAGCATTTTCTCACAGAAAGTCACAAAAACAAAAGTTTTGTTTTTACACAACGATCAGTGGGTTGGAAAATTAAAAGGAGCCGTGGTTTAACTAAAGGTTTAACATGGATCATGTGCAATATACATCCCCTATTTTTTGGTGTCTTTATAGCAGCTATGCAACATCAGCCCTGATGGGCTGAAAGCTTATAAGGAGAATGGGAATCCAAAGTTGTGTACGAACTGCTTGATTGTCACCTTACTACAACATTTTCTACACTTCAAAACAAGTTAAAGAGTGAATTCACCTCTATAGTGCATACAAATGTTGTTTAGTCATGTCGAGTCTGATTTGGCTCTTTGTTTGATCGGTAACAACCTTAAATAAACAAAAAGTACAGAAATTTGCGTTTGGTCGATAATTTCTATGTTGTAACAATACGTCTCGGCAATAAATCTGAGTATGAGAGCTGCACCCCTGAAAAACTTGTCAAATCTGGTTTGTCATTGTTAAATTGCCAATATACTTTGTTTCTTCAGACTTCGATCGTCCAATCCAATAAGCACCAAACAAGAGTCAGTAGCAGAATAAGCTGAAGATTTGGCAAGGTTTTCATGGGTGCAACCCACATACTCAACTCTGCTGCTCAACCCAAAAATGTGTTTTCCTTACAAATGTGGCAGCATGTAAGGAGAAATTAACAGGCTTTCCAGTAGTATAATATTTAACATGAAGCATTGTTACAACAGAGGACAACCAACCAAACAATAATTTCCTTGGTTTTCGTACCAAGTTTGTAAGGAACTTAAAAGCGGTAAGATGTTATTCTTCATGACGTGTCTCTTTAGTGTTTTCACAGAGCAAAGCTGTGTTTATACAAACTCAGTGGAGGTCAAAAGGTTTATGCTGTAGCTCATAATTAAAGAGGCAGACTGGCATTGTAGTAGTCTGACAGCCCCATCGTCTGCACTACAAGCAGCAGCTGGTTAGCTTAAAAACTGGAAATAAGAGGGTGGGGCAGAACTGCCAGCACAGATCATTCACAAACATTTTATAAATAATTTCTTCAAATTACACAAAAGTGAAAAATATATATATATATTTAATGACAAGCTAAGCTAAAACTGGTTGCTATGCCTTTCATATTTACTGGTAAGATCTTAAAGTGGGGTCAGTTTTCTAATTTACTTATTGTAAAATCAAACTTTTTCTTTAAGGAGCATGGTGAAATCAGACTTTACACAAAACACACCATGGATGCAATAACTATCTTATATACAAAAATGTGAGCGATGAATAAAAAGTTATTTGGGCTTAAAAACTACAAAAATTAGACGTTATATTTTCACACAGGTAAACTATTGCAAGCTGTGTTTTACTGCACGACATTGTACAGATATATGCGGCAATGTGCCTGCTCCTTGTACAGTGTTAGTAACCCAGAGCCACAGGTGTCTGATAGTAGAACGAGCTGACCAAATTGAATGTGAAATCCACGAGAGTGTGTGCTTTTAATCTGTTTATAATGCAGTTCTTTCTGCCACTCCACCCAAAGCTGGAGTATTTGAGAGAATTTCAAACCTCATTCATCACAGACATCAGCGACTCTAGGTCAAAATAATCCTTTGAAACATTTGTGCTCTTAAATCCTTGGCTTTAAGTTTAAACTCTGGAGGACCGAAGCACGGCGAATACGGCGTCCTCCTCACCCAACCCCTGCTCCATCTATGCAGAAGCCCAGCCGGGCCCAGTCAAGGCCAGCATCAGCGGCAAGATGAGGACAGCGCTAGGTGAACTTAGACTGGGAGAGGAACTGGGACTGCACAGATCAAACAGACTTCCCTGGAAGCGTATCTTCCTGGAGTCCTGCCTCAGAGTCTCCCAGATGGAGCTGACTTCCTCCTGACAGTCGGACAGCGCCGTGAGGGCACAAGTGTGGAAAGCTTCCCAGTGGCTGTGGCAAATAAAAGGATCATCAGTTCAGCACTGTGTCTGACATTTCACTCGGAAGTCATTCCCACAACAGCATGCAGACATGCACTGGCTGTGCCCGATTAATTTGCTTGCCAAAAATCTATCACTCACACGGCTACGAAGGATGCAAGTAAGTCAAGCTGTGCTTTAATTACCATGGCAACTGTATGAGAGAGTGAAACAATATCACAGATGATATTGCAAGTGGGCAATTTTCAACCAAAGGATTGAGTGTAAATCTTTGTCTTCAGTGCACTGTGTTGGGGTTGTGGAGTGCATGCAGTAACAGTGACAAAGAACTTCCCCCGAATTTCATTACTGCTGCAGCGAGGTCATACATTATTTAGCACAATGGCTCAGTGTCTCAGCACCATTCATTTCTCTAGTCTCCTCTTCTCTGGGATTGTGGCATCTGCTCCCTTTCTCTCCAGTATTTTGTTATGAGATGAATATTTCATCCTGTATATGTCTATATTATTGCTCTCAATTACGCCTTATTTGATCCTAATTGAACTGAAAAACAATTTTGTGCACCAATGGGTTTCTTAATCGACCCATGAAAGCTGGTTTCTCTCTGCATTTCTTGTTCTCTCTGCTGAGGTTATCATTTGTATCTTAGTGCATATGAAAGCTCTACTCACAAAGAGTGATGAGAGCTCAAGCTCACAAAACTCTACAGGGAATGTCTCGCTGCTGCTCGTGCACTCGCCGGTAAAGTAATTATCACCTGCACACAGCTGCCACTCCCCTCTCACTGGTCACGTTCTCCTGGTAGTTGTCCATGCTCTCTCCCAGCTCCAGGACACATTCGGAGAAGTCCTTATAAATGTTCTCACACTTCACATCGACAGAGTCTCCTGGCACCGCTAAGGACAGAACTATTGAAAAAACAGATACAGGAGACAGCTTTCTTTACCGCTTTTGTGATGCTTTGTACACTGACAAGCTACAAATAACCATGAGAGACAAATCAGCATCCACTGTAAGTGCACATAAATCAAATTTCTTTCTTGCTAAGTGTCTGGCTTAAGATTTCAGACTACTTTCAGACTTCACTTACGAATATACAACCTTTAAGCAAAGACCTCTCTATTACATTTATAATAATAAATACTATCACTCTTATTTAATGTGATAATTTAATTTGATCAGAAAAACTATGTGACAGGTTGTCAAACTTTCACTTCAGAAGCTGGAAAACCCCACCCCACACTCCATATTTCTTATCAATAATTAAGAGTGAAAAAAAAGGGATCCAAGTTAAATAAAGGTCAGCATCAGAAAACTTTTGTTTATTTTGCCTACCAAAAGATCACATTCATTCGACTCATGCTCTTCCCGGTCGTCCAGCCCCACAGTTTTGGAGCAACTGCTCTAGACAGATGTAATGTGGTGGAAGGAAAACATTCCTGACCACCGCAGCCCAACGCTCGCTTTGTCAATAATAAACTGTACTGATTATAAAGTGCATATTTCTGTATTTTAGTAAAAGTGACAGTTGAGTGAAAAAAGAAGAAGAAACCATTCCGTGAGTTTTTGTCTTTAGGTAAGCGTTTCATGTACGAAAGCTTGCACACTAAGTATAGATACAACACCCAGTAGGCTATCTACCGCCGCTACAAGCAGTTGGCACTGGTACAGGTCTGATAACCATCATGCAACACTGATGGAGATAAATAAGCTTACGGTCACAGCACCTACATTCTGCTGCAGGAAGATTAAAAGAAGAGAAAAAAAAAAGACAGCTTTCTGTTCCAAACCATCCCAACTGGCTCCCACCATAAAGCGCCTGAGATTGAGATACCGTACCGGTGGCAAAGGCAACAATCCATCCGATCTTCGTCGACATGAAAAATCCCATAGCGGAGGGCGCGGGATGCTGCTGAGGCGCCGAAATAAAAAGAAAAAAGCGTCTCTGAGTCACACGGAGGTGATTAGCTGCCCATCATTAATGTGAGTCGATGTGTATCAGTGATTGAGCGCCGATAAACACTTGGTAGGTGTGTATTCACAGTCTTTCCTTGCTCCGGCCGACTGCTGACGTTACCTGCCCCCCGGCGCGCGCTGAGCTCATCTTCCCCCCTTCAGCACCGGACAGTTCTCACCTCCCCGAGCAGGAACCACGGCCCTGCTTCATCACCCGGTGCTTTTATGCTTTTGCTTTATGCACACAGGATGTCATCACAGGATCTCAGCTTTTACACATATATATATACATATTCCCTCAATCACATATCTGAGGTTGGGAAAATAAATATTTACTTTGTTCCACAGGGAAAATGTGGAAATGTTGTGGAATGCTGTGGAAACATGTAGCATTTGTCTTTTCCCTGATTTTTCCTTTCTTTCTGCACACTTTCACAATCAAACAAATTTTTAATATTACACAAAGATAATCTGAGTAAATACAGCCTTTTATTGTTTTTCAGAAGGCGTTGCATCACAAATACTGACGTACAGCGTGACAGACCGCATCACTAACACTGACTGAAGACTCCGAAATGCTCTGCTCAGGAGTAAGGCGGCAAAATTGACTTGCACAGACACTGAGACACATGGTTTCGACATTTGCACTTGCAGCTGCCACTGTACCACTTTAAAAAACATAAAACCATTAATGGATGTTATGTATGAATCATGTGTGATAATTAAAAAAAACAAAAACAAAAAAAAACGGCATTTTTTGCAAGAGACCAGATAAGGCAGAGAAGGGTTTGATGATAGAGAAGACTGTGATATTTTCATTGTTATTATCGAGAAAAAAAAAAAAAAAAAAAAAAAGGAGTGGCAATAAAGTCAAATTCAACCCTCTTCAAGAAGGCAGTTCAAGCCAGCCCTTGTAATCTTAATTACCGATTGTCTTATTTTTCCCATTACATCTCTTTCTTTCTCTCTCTCTCACACACACACACACAAACACAGATACAAAAGTCCCTTTAAAATGAGCCACAGTTCAGTCTTCTTAGTGTTTAAATGGTCACGGTCCAATGAGAGCACAGGATCTTCTCAGCATGTAATACCTTGAGACCGTATCGAGCTCAGATTCTCAAACATAAAAAAAAAATCTGCTTCAAAAACTGAATTCCAGACATTCGCATTCTTTGTAAATTTGAACCGAGTTATTGTTGCGAGGTGTTCTGAAAGTTTGATCAAGATTATAACGACAAAGGGAAGCCAGCACGTTTATTGGTCTGTCCCAGCCGCCCTCTTGGTTCGTTTCCGGGGGGATGCTTTAGGGGAAGCCTTGTCTGAAACACAGGAAGTAAAGATCAAATACTCAGAAATCAAAATCACAGTAAGAAAACAAAACAAAGCAGAGGGTGAGTGGAGCAGTGTAATCATAACAGCTGGGCAAAATGAACTTACTCATGACATTAAGAGTCTCCTGAGGAATCCAGCTGATGTCCACATCATTTATTCCAGCAGTGCCCTTTTCTATTTTCACAGAAAGCCTCTTTTTCTGCAGAACACACACAAAGGTAGAAAGACCACATTATGTCATGTTAAATCCAATTTATTCACCATCATGCTGACTTTACCAGAAACATTTCTTCACATTTACACTGATTTACAAAGATGCGCCTCATTTCATCTCATAGGCAGACAAAATATCCTTAGATAAAAACAGAAAAGCCAGGGATGACGAGCACATACCGTCCTCGAGTCCAGGACCTGGTACATCCCGAAGAGCAGCAGGGACACCAGTCCCGCCAGGAACACGTACATAAACATTCTGCAAATAAAAGCAAAAACTCCAAGTTACAAATACACAAGAGCACAAAAAACAAGAAGAAGCCAGATTTCTCCGTTTATCAACCTCGATTGCAAATTTTATGTTCGATTTTTTTTCCAGAAGGAATACGCCGTCTTCAGCTCGACTAATATTTCTGCCAACAGTTTGCACGTCTTACACCAGCAGCACAATCCTGGCTGCGAGTCTCTTTGTGACAATTTCACACCTCCTTTTGCAGGTTTGTACATGTAGTGCAATCTTCTGGGAGAGCTGCAGAGAGCCGGATGTGCCAAAACAACGTGACAAATACAATTTTGGACATTTCCATTTTTTTTTTCTCCAGTGGAATTAAAAAGACACAAAACACTTCATTTGCATTTTCAATTTTGCCTTTACATTATAAAAAGCAGAAAAGCTTACGTTTCTCCATCCAGTCCCTCTTCTCGTTCAGTGATGGTGACAGTCTGGTTGTAAACGGCAGTCTGGAACACGCTGCCCTAAATTTATTTTTTACAAAAGAGAAGTCAAAAGACAAACAGGGAAAACAAAATTTAGGAGCTTCTCTTTAAAACTTGTCATTAAAATGACTCAGTATTTGTTAATAGTGCAGAAAAAAGCAGTCAAAGCTCAGCAGGGGGAAATGATGACAGTAAGCACCCTCCTGGGAATCCAAATTATGGGAGAGAGAGAAAAAAAAATAGTTGCTAACAAAATGTAGTGCTGATGAAGATTTCTTCAAGGCTTTTAATATTCATGAATCATGAATAATCATTAGGTGTGCTGTGAAAAATATTCCTGACAGTTACTGCCTGATATCTTCACATTCTACCTCCTCCCACCTTCTCTCAATAAAAACAATAAATAAATAAACTTTTAAAACAGTAACACTTATTTTACCTCAGTGTCTTGATAGTTGAGCAGGATTACAAGTCCAAATGGGCGACCGGCCATTGGCTGTGCTGGGATGAAGGAGTACTCGAAGGAGGCCTGAGCTTGTGGTTTGACGACAGTGTTCAGGGGCAAAGCTGTGAACTATAAATACACAAAACACTAAGAAATCATTTTCTGAAAGTATGACATGAGCTAGTTTGGTTTCCTCAGTTAACCTAACATCAGCGTCTTTGGACAAAGCTGGGGTACCCGGAGAGAATCCGGGGAGAACGTGCAAACACCACACGAAACGCTCCGGGAACCTGGAACCCTCTTGCTTTGAAGCAACAGTGCTGACCTCTAACACCGTGCTGCCATTTCTGAGGTTTCATTAAAGCTAAACAAAGTAGCCTTTGCTAGTCCCAGAAATGGGAAATTCACAAATGAAGAGAGCATGTGCACAAATATAATAAACATCATTTTACTTTAATGTTTCTGCATCATTCAGATATTTAAGTTGTTCTGTTACACAATTCAGTGTGGAGTTCATGTTCTTCCCTGAGTCTGTGTGGGTTTTCTCAGAGTACTCTGGCCTCCACCCACAGTCCAAAGACATGTGGGAGTTAGTGGGGTTCGGTTAACTGGGGATTATAAATTGCCCATAGGTGTGAATGGCTGTCTGCGTGTTTTAGCCCTGCAACAGACTGGCGACCGGCCCAAGAGGTCACCAGTCTGTCGCCCTGTGGTAGCTGGGATAGACTCCTGCCCCTGTCACGATCCTGAACTGGATAAATGGAAGAAAGGATGGATGTACAATCCCACCCTTAACATTTTTTTTACTTTATTTTTCATTAAGACATGAAAGGAATAGAGAGTGTTTATATGTATTTTTTCAGCATTTCTCAACATTCAAGAGAATAAAACAGAAGTAATGAACATAGGAAATAAAAAGAGAATTCAAAGAAACCTAAACCCTGATATAAAGTCAGGGAAAGTCTTGCCATAAAAGTATGTTTAAAGGTTTAAAGGCATGACTTAAAAAAAGTGACCAACCATGTCAACCAGGTTGTTCCAGAGTTATGAGGCGCTCAGTGCAAATGCTCTCACCTTAGGGCTGTGCGATATGACCAAAATCTCATATCCCGATATAAGACATCTATCGTCTGATAACGATATAAATCACAAAAATTTAACATTTTCTGTAAATTCTGTGAATCTCGGGCAGCTCGACTTGCGTGAAATGTTTCCAGCTGCGTGTCATGTACCTGGAGTTGAGTGTTTTAATTGAAACTATACATTTTTAGACATAAGTTGTAACCGCCGTTTTCTTTGTGAGCATTTATTACCCGGCGTGCTGCGGGGAAAAGCCTGTGCTAACGTTTGAGTCTAAGGTTTATTTTTTAGCACCTGGCGGCTCTTTTTGCTCCTCATCCGTAAATACGTGATTCAGTTTATTTTGAAAAGTCTCAACAGGATCTTGAGCTTTATTGTCAAAGGTTTATGTGGAACATAAACAAGCGGACATGGGATGGTTTTACCGTTGCTGTTGCTAACGACAACGCATAAAAACAGACGATTGTCTGTCAGTAGTGTGGTTATATTAAATATAAGAGAAAGAGAGAACTTTAAGAAATTAATATAGCCACTACAGTGACCATCAAAACGATGAAAAAATATTGCCGTAAACAGTTTATTTTGCGACACCATGAAACAAACGATAGCGTAAAATGAAACGATAGATGTTTTTATATCATCATCCGATATATATCGTTATATCGAACAGCCCCATCTCACCTCTTACATTTTATATACTGGTGCATGTGGTAGTTAGAGGTGGAAGATGTACACCATGAGCGGCCTTAAAGGCAGCCAATAACATTTAATTTCATAGCTAAATCTCTTTAGTTATGAACTTGTCCTGAAGACATTTTACAGCAGGATATGCGGCACATTGTGTCACTTACATTTTGGATGAAGAACTGGAAGTCCTGGGGATAACGAAAGGAGGCCTCCAATGACTGAACGGTGAACTCCTGACTACCCTTGTTGGAGAAACCCACCAGGAACCGCACAATTTCATTGGCAGGAAACTCTAAAAGTGTCATGACCAGAAGTAAATAATGAATAAAAGTAAAAACACAAATGTGAAGATACCATGTGTTTAACACGGCCACAAAACTGGCTTCTACACCATGAAACAACTAATTAAGCTTTTTGCTTTAGTTTTCTAGCAATTATTAACAAAACCAGCGAGACCAACCTTCTCCCGTGGTGAAGATGATCGTCGTGTCGGCATCAGGGTGAGAAGCTAACAGTTTGTCCGCCGCTTCGTCTGAGTCATCTTCGTGTCCTTCCTGATGACACACACAACTTTACATTGTAAAACCACCACTAGTATGCCTAATCGTGCTGCGCCATCACTGTACATACCGAGGTTTGCATCTGATCCTCTTCAACAAGGACATCTTCATCATCTTCCTCTTCATCTACTGCAGCATCCGAGTCCTCGACAATGTCCTCGGCCGAGTCTGAGTCGGCATAAACGTGGCCTGCAAGTCAGAAGCCACAGTGAAGACATGAATGGATTACGGGAATGATGCTGGTTAACACACTGGAAAAATGTTTTAGCAGTTTTCATATGACAATCTGAGCTTGTAATCTTTGTTAATTCAGCGTGTAAAACAGACAAGAAAGTGCTGCATTTGGCCATCATCGTCACACAGACAGTATTTATTTATTTCATAGCAATTTATGTCAGATTATGTCTGTATCAAGTCACGTGATGAAGTGATAGATGGTTATTTAAAGAAGAAAAGCAATGGAAATGTGGGCGAAAATCTAATATACACTTAAGCAAGGAAAAATCTAATAAAAAGCGGTTGTAATCAATCTGGCAACCTTGCCTCCAATTTCAATGAAACAGGAGCAAAGACATTTGAATGTGTGTCAGCAGGGCAGAAACCAGCAGAGCCAAACAGTACGAACATCTTATCTATGGTGACGTGTCCCAGAAAAGAGAGGGAGCCTCCAGCTGCTCTTACATCCTCGGCCACTTCATACATTTGTATTGAAAAGCTCCTCTGTGGCTCTAAAGGGAAACTAAACTTTGCGTGACGTGTATATATTTCTTCTCACGAAGAAAAAGACCGCTTTTTCTTTAATTCACAACAAAAGCGACAGACTATTGTATATCTCTAGATGTTTAAGAATAAAACCTGCCTTATATTCACGTTAGCAGCTGATCCAGCTGTGGAGAAAGCTGTCGGATCGCCCCGTGACTGTGCCACGTCAATATGTTAGGCGAAAAACTTCTGACCAGCAGCGGAGTGAGGCTACAAATGTATCTGCCTGCTTTCAAGTGAAATAAATACATAAATAAATGCTTACCAACTGATATCAGACCGCAGGGGAAGGCCAGGAGAAAAAGCAGCAAAAGTTTTGATGTGAAGTTGAACATGTTTGCAGAGGTGGAGGCTGAAGTTAGTACCACATCAGCAGTTTGAGGAGTAGGGGACGGGAGCTGAGGAGGGGGCGGGGTAAGAGGAGTTCTTCTTCTTCTTCTTCTCCATGTTTCATGGCGCGTGCGTAGAGCTTAGTGGTGCATTACCGCCACCTAGAGGAAAAACAAACAAACTTTGTAGCGTGGATGAAGTGGAGCCACGTCGTCCATCTTTAACACTGTCGTTGGGCTGGATGTGGATGTGAAGTAGACTGTGTATAACAGCTGTTTGTTTTCAGGGCTTTTTATTTTGCACCAGCATCTAAAACGTTAATAACAGGAACATTAAGTTGAATCACCATGTTTTTATGAAGGGCCAGGGGCACACTAATGGAGGTGGGTGAGGCATTAATTCAAATTCAAATTTTATTAAAATCCCTTGATTCGCATTAAGGCTAAATATAATCCAAAAGCTTAATATATATGACAGTATATGACAGACTACACCGTGACACGTCTGTGTTGCACATGAGGCTGCACAACAGTTGTGACCCTGTGTAAAATGTAAATAAATGTAAATGTAAATTGTCTTGTTGAAATATGCATTACTGATTTTCAGCCTTGTTCTTTGCGAGGTCTCCAGATTATGTGAATCTTTTGATGATGTTGTGGACTGTAGATTAGGAGGTATTCAGTCTTCACATTTTATGATGAACATTTTATGCACTTTATTTTGAAACTGTTCCCCATTTTGTAGATGTGGAACCTCTGCCCATCTTTAGTCCCAACATTTACGTTTCCACCCTTTTCTTGCTCCTGTCCTAACTTTTGTGGGACGTGTTGCTGCCATCAAATTCAAAATGAAAATATTTTTCATGAAATTGTATCAGTTTAAACATTTGATGTTTTCTGTTTTGTCGTAATATAGGTTCATGAGACCTGCAGATGTTGGCATTCTGTTGTTACTTACATTTTTCGCAGGGTCCTAACTTTTTTGGAAGCGGTGTTGCACAAGACATGTACATAGATTTCTACATCAATTTCTAACACTGGGACTGACTTTGATAAACCACACTGAGTGACAAGAGGGTAGCCAAAGGTAGACAAACCAGAAGATAAAAAAAATAAATAAATTAATGTCTGCATAGCAGATAGCATGGTGGTATCTCAAAAACTCTCTTAATACAAGTGAAAACCTCTGCAGTTGTTTACAATGGAAAGTTTCTGACGCACTGTGGTTAATGTGGCTTTATGTGTTTTTGACCGGTGTACCTAACTATAACACAAGCATTCCCACAACTGTCAGTTTTAGTTTCCTTCGTCTTATTTGTTCCTATTAATAAATACACTGTAGCATTAGAATGATCCTATAGGTGGAGAATAGAAGCAGCGGGATGGAGTAACACAGCTAGGACATTAGACATGCAGTGTGATGAGCAGCGCTTCAGTTAGTCCATTTAATTAACAGTGTAACAGCTCTTTCTGCGCCATTCCTTTTAACAAATTATGAAAAGATCTCACATTTTAGATTTGCCTGGTTGAGCAGATCCATGACTTTAAATATCTGCTTGAGTGCAGTGGTATAAAGGTGGACATGCTTTAACCTATAGCCCACACTCCTTGCAGAAGAATAACTCACCCAGTGTTGGGTGGGATAGCTAAGACAGCCTAAATGTCTTGAGCCACTCTTTACTGAATTTTCATCCATGTCAGATGTCAGCACCAGTAACTTTTGAATCAATGTTTAAACCGAAAATAACTCAGATGCCCAAAAGGATGATTGGAACAATCCTTCCCACATCTGGTTTAATTTAATATTCAAAATGTGACACTTTATACACAGAAGAAGACAAACAAATGACTGCACTGCTGTCTGCGTGTTCAACCCACGCTTCCTTCAGTAAATGGACCGTGAGAGTCTTATCATTTGCTCCTCTCATCCTGAACTAGTGTTCAGCCTGCTGACACAGATGGGGCTGATCAGCAGGCTGCCAGCTCCTGCACGTTTGTATGCAGAAGATTTAGGAGCTGCAGTTCAGCACTATAAATGAATTCTGAAGAATGATTGCTGAACCGGGTGAAATTAATTCCCAGAATGTATGCAAATATTCGTCTTACGTCTGACAGTGATTTGAACAAACCGAAAGCCAAATACCAACAGATTTATCTGGATGATATGAGAATAAGATGCTAAGAGAGCTAAAAACTCATATTTTACCCCCAAAGTGACCAAAACTAGGATGTGACTTAAAAAACTGGGCCTCTGGTTTGTAAACACATCCATTAACACCTTCTTGCTGCTCTAATTCCTGTTGTCTGATGTTGCAGCTATGAAATATGAACCACTAATTTAAGGTGTGTGTTGCCAAGTAAAGAGGTCAGCATGAAAAAGTTAAATCAGTGAACACCACCATGTGCTGAATGTGTCAGACTGTTGCCAGAATAATTGGTTAACCTCACTTTCTGTCATGGCCACTGGCATATTTTTGACCCAGCAGCTCACGACTGACTTTAAAGATATATAAAGCCATCTGCAGGATTACAACAAAGATACCATTTATTTTGGTTTATGACTTGATCCATTACTTTGACAGGATGCTTCCAAGTTCCATCACTGACATCTGTTACCTCATATGTCTAAATTTCCTAGTCGTTTGCACTTATTAAACACTTTTCTTTCTTAAAGGTCGTAGTTAGCATTTTTATTTTTTTAATCTCATTTTATTATTATTTATTTTTCATATACAAATCACTGCTTTTCATGGATTCTTTTATCTGTATGCATACATGTGTAAAAATCATAACCACTGGAGTTTGTGCTGTAGTAGTTACAAATATTTGTCCCCACTAGAAATGTTTTTATCTCCACGGAGAGAATTTGCTCTCATTCTTAATATGTTGTCACATAGTATCCAGATGTTGTGTGAAATAATTAAAGGATTATATTTAGTGCCTCAAAGATAATTAAATGTCTTTTTCAGGATATTTAAAGTAAAAAGGATATATCCCCTTAAATCAAAAGTGTTCATGTCGTATTCCTTAACACTGAAAGGGCAGGTCTTCAGCCTTGGTACCTGATCTGTCTTGTAGTCTAAAAAAAGTTTGTGGTTTTCTGCAAAAGCACACATCCTGTAACAGTCCTTTAAGAAAAAAAAGCAAACACGCTAGTGTCGCATACTGCGTGAGCACAAACATGCAGCGAGTTCTGTAGAACTGCTTGTCAAAGACAGAGTACAGGTGTAAAAGATTTAGTAGACGTTTGTTTTCAGAGTATAGTTTGGATTGTCCTTGGTTAAACTTCACTGCCATGGTAGATCAAAATTGCAGCTCCACTCAGCAAGGTAAGTCTTGAATGAAGATACAAACATCGTTAGAATTCACAGTAATGTAAGCCAAGAGTTTTCCTTAGAGTTAGATCAGGTCTTTACATTATTTATAAATAAAGATGGTTAGTGTTAGTGCTTGTGATGCTTCTTATGTTGCTTTTATATTGAATTAAGCTTTACTGGTTTGACTTTAGAGGGAGTAAAAAAGGTTGATTTTCATATCAGATTGCATTTTGATTAGCAGCTTTTGTGGGACTTCCCCATCTTTTCTGTTATTGCTCTAATAGACGTTTAACAGAATCTCAGTACTTTCCAGATGTAATTTTAAAGTTTTGGGGAAAAAAAGTGCTGAAAAATAAACTGTATGCTGTCTGGCACAATGTGACAAAGATCATTCCAGGAATTAAACTACACTGGGCACACCAATAAGCTTATAGAGAGATGTAATTAATATAGCGCAGAACTGTTCAGCGTGTTGGTTCCCCAGCAGTTGCAGTTTCTCATGTGGCACCTTGGGAAAACTAACCGCCCACCCCTGCCTGAGATGCTGCCAGAGAGAGAAACATATCCAAAATTAGAGTCAGTAGGACTTCAGCCAAGGGGGCAGGAGCTGGATGATAAAAATGTTTCCAACTTTGTTTTTAAATCAGTGAATAGTGCTTTAAATAACTGATCACAGCAACCAAAAACAAACAAAGAAAATCCCCCAAAACTGAGCTTACTAAAAGGTAAGTTTCTTTTATACACAGCTTCTCCCACGCCTTCACAGCTGACATGTGAAGTGTCTGTTGTGTACAGACTCACAGCATTCTGATTAAACAGAATGCTGTGAGTCTGTACACAAGGCATCAGCCGCTCAGAGGCATCAGCAGTTTAATTAGGACGGTGCAGTTTGCCCAAAGGCAAAAAGCAATACTGTGTAAGATCGTAGAATGTGTCTCATTTTAATGAGGCGATGCATTACCAAAGCTAAATTATTTATTTAGATTTGTAACAGAGATCCTATGCACCAGATATTACTCGGGCAGAATGTGGACCCATTTCCACCACTGCAGAGTCCAAACACGTTAAAGTGCTCCTTCGTTCACGGTGAAGATGAGCAAAATTCAGCTGAAAGTTATACGAGATATTGCACACCACAGCTACACAGTTAAGAGTTACAGTTACAGTCAGGCTTTTTATGTGATTCAGTGGCAAACCAAAAACCAACAGTGTGTCGACTGAATGTTTTAACTCACTAGAGATCGATGAGGCTTCAGGAACATGTTAAACATAGTATATCAAAAAGCACTGCAAATGGTTTCTGGGGTAGGAAATGCGCCCAAGATGCTTTTGCTCGGTCTGTATTCCTGCAGCAAACATTGCACACATCACACATCCATGCATGCAGGTTTCTCAGCAAAACCACATTTTCTGCTGCTCAGTGCTGGTGTAGATGTATTGCTCAAGGACTCTGATGCTGTGCATGTTTTCACATTTTGCTTTATTGCCCAATTTCCTTCAGCATTGTTTGAACAATCCACTTTCAAGCATATACCTCTAGTTCTGCATTTTTTAAAGAGATATATATAAAAAAAAATTATTTTGTTTATTCATATTTTAAGAACTTTACATGATGCATGGATGGTTATTCTTCATTAATATTGTTATTATCAGTAGTAGTCACTTATTTAATATCTGTTTAAAATGTGAACTAAAGAGGAAAAAAAGGCGTTCCAAATTGCTAAAATTAGCTTTCTGTGTTGCGTGGTGCAGTGATGAAGCACAGCACTCACTTTGTGAGTAGGGTATTTCTGTGTGAAGCTAAGTCATTTTCTCACAGTGCTTCCATTTCTTCCCACAATTCATACACATTGCATTAAGTTGATTGTGAGCTCTACAATGAGCACATGTGTAAATGGTAGGCAGTGGATGGATGGACAGAAAATTAAAGACACAGCTATGTAAAAAAACTGTCTTTTGATTTTTTAAAAACATACATAGCAGTTTTCTGTCTTCATGCATGAGATTAACTATGAGGTCAGTGAGTGTTGCTCAAACATAGTTTATTCATTTAAAGTGACTCATATTTGTTTTTCTTTTTTCTAGCTTCACAGTTGGGTTTTTTATCTAAGGAATTACAAGCGACCTTAGGGGTTCTCAGTGCAGCGCTGATCATCTCACTGGCATGGAATATTTTTTGTTGTGTATCAAAATTTGGCTCAGGTAATGACATTATTTACTCTATCCTCACTCAAAAAAAAAAGATTCTTCACCCACAGTAAACATGACACTATAGTTTGAGTAAAATGCAACTGAAATATATTATCAAAGAGTTATTTATTCTAATACTCAATTATTTTTTTAAAAAAAGTGCTTGTATAAACTGAATGCATATCAATCAAATACATTTGATTTGACCAGATTTAATTAAATGTAACATTTTTACATTTTACCTGTAACAAAAATACATCAGAAATCCAAATGCAAGTTAAAGTCAGCATTTTATGGGAATTAACACAAAACCCCCTGAAAACAATCCAGTTGTGAATATATTCATCTTTATCTTGTATTAGGAAAATGGAGATGTCCACTGAGAAGACGGCAAAGGTGTGTAGCGTGGTTTTTATTGTTAACAAATTACAGTAAAACAGATCTGCATGTGAAGAACTCCGTTTTCCTTTCTGTGTTCCCAATTTTAGTCAGAGCTTGAGGCAGATGGAAGAAAATCCTATTTATGGAAACTTAAGCTACCTGCAAACAAGTAGGTGCAAGCGGTCGTGCGTCTGGCTGTGCACATGCTTTAGTACACTTGTATCAGATTACAGCGTGATGATATTTCTCCGCAGGCGTAACTTATTTAACAGAAGACAATCGCCCTCACTCATCACTCAGCTCTTCAAATGGGAAGTATCAGCGGAGAGTCAGATCAGACTTACAGGTAGATTCTTTGACACTTTTTTGAAGGTTTGAGATCTTTTATTCTGGCTTCACTTTGGGCTCTCTGTCTGTTCATACAGGTTATTAAACCTTCATGACAATATCTCTCCAGACAAAGTAAAATACAGCTGTATGATATTAGATCAGGTAATAGTAGGAACATGAAAAGTGGTCCTCTAGCATAGGTCAGTCTAGACCTACTAACCCATGGGTGTCAAACATAAGGCCTGGGATGCAGAATTGGCCCAGAAAAGACTCCAAACTGGCCGCCTGGCCCAATGTGAAGAAGGGCATAGCTTTATTATTTTTAATTGTTATTTAATTTTTAACTCTCAGTTTTATACCTTTTCATGCCAATAAAGGCTTCCCCAGTGTCAGTGATAATAAACCAATTAAACCAAAGTAATTAAATAATAGCTAAATGATTAAACGATGAAAAAAATATTATTTTAAAATATCTACTAAGGAAATTTCTGTTGTTGTTTTTTTTTACAGTGGGTCCACAGCAAAAAAAAATTTAAAAAGATGAGGAAAAGCACATATGTATTTCTTACAATTTAAAAGCATAGAGTTGCACTCACAGATTTCTTTCATCTACTAAAGCAGCATTTCTTTATCACGTAAGAAAATTGAGATGTACTGTTGAAATTACACTTCTTTTTCTTATATTAAAATATCGCAAGCATTAAATTTAGTTAGTTAAAAGTCTTTTCACAGACAGAAAGGAGAGTTTTACTAGTTCATTGCATTGAAGTGTGATCATGTTTACATTGTTTTTTGTTTCTTCTTCCAGTCCAAAAACCACGACTGCTATGCCAACCTGACCTTAAAGGGCCCCAGGCTGCAGGCTGGTCACAGCTGTCCGCAGATACAGTACTCAGATGTAATGCAGTTAGGGGAGCCACCGGAGTCAGAGAAGGAGGATGACGGTAACACGGACGCCCTCTCCACCGTGTCTGATCTGTATGCTTCCGTGCAAACTCAGCGAACAAAAACCATTGACTCTGCAGACAATGAGGAAGGCTATGCCAACCATCTCTGAGACGTGCACAGCTGCTGATGCTGAGATGACTCAAATGGCTGTTTTTTTTCAGGCCCAATCTGTCACCACAGGATGTCAGTGTTTATTATTATATGAAAAATGGAAACGCGTCTGTGCAGTTGTGAAGTAGAGAAGTGCTGCACTTCTCTGATTCATTGGCTTTCAAACTAGTTAACTAGCTAACAAGAGGACGGGACCCACAATTTCAAACAATTATTAATAATAAACAGGATCCGAGTGGATTTTTACTTAAATAAAGCTCAGAGTAATAGCATTCACAAATTAAAAAGAAAAGAAAATTCATGTTCTTTTAACTCCCTGACAGTTTGAGAATCACTGCTCTGCCTGAATGTGAAAGTTTTAACATAAAATGTGTATTTTATGTAACATTTCAATGACATTTTTTGGTGGACTTGTTTTTTGATGGTGCATTTGAAAGCTAATTAAGTACAACATCTCTATTTTTGTTTTTTTGTTTTTACAAAATGACACAGTAATTAATTTTGTAATATTTGCTCTAATAAAATAAATGATTATCTAAGAGTGCTCCAGACAAGCTTTTGTATGCTTAACAATATATTCCACTTATAATAAGTGAGTAAGTAGTTTTTTGACACTTGCTTTTCAAGTCATAGCACATTTAATATTGTGTAATAAATCCCTTTTCTTCTCTTTGCTTTTAACTTGGTAAGAATTCTTTTAACACAACTTTCTTCCGCTGTGTCAATGTTTAACCCTGTGAAATGAATGGGTCACTGAAAAGACCTAAAGCAGTATAAAAACAACAACACAGAAATAAAATGCAAAAGAAATTTTACTTTGTGTAAACCAAGAATTAATATCAGTTACCATCACTTAATTTCTTTAATCTCCTTTGGTTGCGACATTAGGCTTCTTGGATTAAAGGTCACTTAGGTCTGTACTTTGCATTTATCGGAGAGCCTTATTTAAGGCAGTGGTAGCATTTACCCTTTGAACAATCAATGCTTGAGATAAGAGTTTCTAAGAGCTAATGGTAATTGCAGTACAGTTGAAAAATTATCATCCATAAGAGTGAGCCTCACGGCTTCCATTTATTTTAAGTAGGTGCTGCTCATCAAATGTAGTGTTTTCACTGACCATCAGCTAGTGGGGCTACCTCTATAAAACCAAATGCTATGAAAATGTGCTGGTCTAGAACATTCAGGTTTGTGATAACATAATCTTCCCAGGAGTGGACATCCCATCAAACTCACAACGCGGTCAGACTGTGCAAGCTTCAGAGAAACTGCATGTCACTCTACAGGTAAAAGCTTCCTGTTTATAAAAACAATGCAGCAGCCACGTTGCTTAGCTTTGCAAAGCTGCATCTGAACAAACCACAAGACTTGTGGAACAATGTTAGATACTTAATGCATAGCGCCACATTTGGAGAAACCCAAACACAGCATGTCAACACCAAATCCTCACATTAACTTCTCACAGTGTGCAAAGTCAAACTGTGTGGAGTGCAAGTAGTGGACCCAGGTGCAGACAAACCAACGTGTGGAAACCAACTTAATAGGAACAAAAAGTGAGCCGTTTAATTAGGCTGATAAAAAGGTACAAAAACAAAAAGCAGATACACACTGGAGAGAAACTAACTAGAACTGTACTGGGAGAAAGTAAATGCTAAACACAAAAGACAAAGAACAAAACCTGAACACGGAAAACTCGGAAAACCCTGGAGGCATGGAAACATGTCGAGAACAACAGAAGACCAGACAAAGACTGAACGAGAAAACACAAACTAAATACACCCAGGAGGATAATGAAGGAATGGGGAACAGGTGGGAACATAGCTGGGACAAATCAGACCTAATGAGACATGGGGAAGAAAAACTAGACACACTGCGCATAGGACAAGGACTTTCACTATAAAACAGGAAACAGCATGGAATGCAGACATGACAACACAAACTTGCTAACATAAAACATGCAAACATGAAACAAAGGGTGAGGGAAACTTAAATACAGGGGTAGTAAACGCAAGGGGAATCTAATAAACAAATGAACTTAGCTGAGCTAGTCAACTTCAAAATAAACTAAAACTTGACCCAGGAACGTGACATAACTGTCACCACATTGGTGATAGTGGTGATGATTTTGACTTGTTTTTTCAGCCAGTCGACTATGAACTCTTCTGTATACCAAGGTATTCTTGAGTCAAAGGTGAGATCATGGACAGTTGATCCCAAGAATATCAACAAATCTAGGCAGGGACAAGTATCAGGGATGATTCGTGACAAGGGGACGATTTGAGGATAGCAGCAAGTGTGAAAAGGAATGTTTACAAGATGCTAGTGAGACCTGCTATAATGTACTTTTTGGACACAGGAGCACTGACAAAAAGATATGAAGCAGAGCTGGAGGTGAAGGTGTTAAGATTTCAGTTGGGATTGACCAGAATGGCAGGTGGCAGGTGGTGTATCTGTATCTATGAAGCGCCTTGAGGCGACTTTTGTTGTGATTTGGCGCTATATAAATAAAATTGAATTGAATTGAATTGAATTGGCCGACTGCCAGACCAGTGTCGCTGGCCTCCGGAACAGCGTTGCCATCACCGCTGGAGACTTGGGCAGCCTCCACAAGAGACACTGCCCTTTTTCCATAAAGAAGGTGATCCACTCAACATAAAAGCATGCACCAGCATTGTGTGCTTGATAAAAATCAGAGCACATAGCAACTTTTGAGAACAGTTGATGATTAGATAAAGAATTGTGTCAAACCTATCAGTTCATAAAAGATTGGTGATGTATTTAACCTTTGTAACAGTGGCATACCCATTCATACATGTAATCAAAGCAGGACATGGAAACTCACTTTACCTTTATATTATGATCTTCTCTTCTCGTAGAGCCAAGTTTAAAGTGCTTGTTTACATCCTCAGTTATCTTGTCTTATCTTGAATGAGATGATACCTTATATGCAGCAGATATATTATTTCACATTGGTCACTTCCAACTTAGGCCCATGATGCCCAGATAAAAAGTTGCGGAACAGCGTGACAAAACTTGCTTATAAACCATGCATGTATATTAAGAAGTCCCAGATGTCAAAAGTCCAGCTGATAACATAAACTCATATATTCTTTATGCTTTTATAGAGGCTATTTCACTTGTCCAGGCAATAGTTTTTCAAAGTAGAGATGATTTTTTAAATATCACAAAACATGTGAAATACATGAAATTTGAAAATATTTGTAAAACGATGAAGTAGCACTAGATGGTGATGTTAAAAATGCTGAATGACATATGTTACCTTGATGATAATGATGATGATGAATTTCCATTAAAGGAGATTATGTTTTCATATAAGCTAATTTGTTCGGTGAATTCTGGAAACAGCATGTAATGCAGACATGACAACACAAACTGCGTTGTTGCTTGTTGTCATTGACTGAACCATGGGCCATACTTTGGTCTGGTGATTGTAAAGCACAGTGAGATTGTTATATAGACAGGACTTTTGTATCCTTGAGGCAATCTAGAGTTAAATCTGACACCGTAAAAATATGTCAGATTTTAGTACAGATTCCACTATCATGGCCGTGTTATGAAAATGTCATGTTTAAGCTTCTATTTTATTCCTGTCGTATTTGTCACACTTCAGTGAGTTAACAAATTATTTTATATCTATTTCTAAAGGGACGATGTGTGTCAAATATGCCCTGGCTTATTGTTGATATGTCTTCACACATTAATTCTAAATTTAAAAAAAAATTAAATGTTTAAATTAAAACGGCAGATTTCATTTTGACAAATGATTTATTTAAGCATATACCTTTTGCAAGAAATTGGATTCCACACATTTTTAAATAACAATAATGATAAAATGAACCATGTTTTATTAAACTGTTTATTTTAAATACATTATATTGCAAAAAAGTTCATATTTCAGCCTGTTACTTTTCCATTGCTTTTTTGTATGCAAATGCTAAGTGAGATTTATGGAAACAGTTCAGTACAAGTTAAAAAATATAAGGTACAAGAGCTCAGACTTTGGTGTCCATGGGATTCATTTGCCCTTTTCCCTCATAGGTTAAGGGGGCTTCTACACTGGAAAAGTCAGATGGCAGCTCAAAGAAAAGCTCATCATTGAAGCAGTTCTTATCAGATGGAGATGCCAAGGAGGGAAACTTCATGACCAGCCCAGTGAGCAGACCACCAACTGTAGAGGCTCCGATGGTGGTAAAGACAGCCGCAACCTGGTACAGCGCTTGCTCCCGTGCAGTGCGTCCCAAGCCCGGCTTCAGTCCAGGAATCACCTTCTGCAGTTCTAGCAGCTGTGGATCTCCTTCGGGTGGAGCACGGTGGGAAAAGATCTGGTACATGCTGGGCCCGTAGGTTTCCTCAGTGGCGAGAAGGATGGCGCAGATCCCTGCTGTGGCCGATATGATGCCAGTCAGTCCGTGCAGGTTGTGAATACCACACTGGTCTTGGATCCTCATGCGATAAGCCATAAAGGGGGTCAGGTACTTGTAACCAAAGAAACAGGCAGTACAGCCCATGACGCCCAGTGCATATGCAGCTACAGGTGAAATCATCATGTCCACAGAAGCTCCAACTGTCACACCGCCTGCTAGAGTCACATTTTGTATATCAGCCATCGTGAGCTTGCCTCTCTTATTGAATAGTGCAGAGAGTGCAAAGGCAGTGATAGTGGATGAGGAGAGACCTATGAAGGTGTGGAGTATTGCTCTGTGCTGATCATCGCCTTTAAATGTAAGCGCAGAGTTGAATGAAGGCCAGAATACCCAGAGGAACAGGGTTCCCATTACAGACAGGATATCTGAATGATAACTAGTGATCTCTTTAGCATGTCCATCATTCAAACTTGGCCGATAGAGCATAAATGTCACTCCTAGACCAAAATAGCAGGCAAATATGTGGATAAGAATAGTGCCGCCTGCATCATTGATCCTAATGTATTTGAGTACAGCCCACTCTGTCACAGCAAATATAGGAATCTCAAGAGAAGCCATGACCAGTAGCTGAACGGGACTGGTCTTCCCAAGCACAGCCCCGAAGGAGATGAGCACCACAGCACAGGCAAACTCTGCATTCACCAGGTTGATCACCCCCAGGTGAATTTTCCCATCATAGTAAAACTGGAAGAACCCTTGCATCAGGATTGCCCACTGGATTGCAAATGTAGCTGTGAGAAAGTTGAAGACCATCCCGCCAAAGCCGTAGAATCTGAAAAAAGCCAGCAGGCAACCGAAGCCTATGAAGATCATCACTTGCACATCAGCAAAGTAGGGGTAGTCGCGATAGAGGGAGTTCTCCATGGGGCTGGTCTCATTGTTTTGCAGCTTTGCGTTGGTATCGTCATCATAAGTGACAAAGACGGCATAAAGAGCTATGATGATCACCTCAAACACTAACACAAACACTGGCAGGCTCACTTTCAAACTCACTGAGTCCTTCATGTTGATGCTCAGTATCCAGACTGCGACTCCTCTTGCTACAGCAACACCCCTTTTGTACTTTTCTCTTTTTTTTTAAAGATCAGATAAGAGCAGATAAAGGCATTGGTTAAAGACAGTGAACACATGCAATGCAGTTATTTAATAGTGGATTGTTATTTAACAACTCGAGAGAACAATGTACTTTAATCCCTCACTGCTCACAACTGAGCTTATCTCTCCCCCTGTGGTTTTCCGTAACAAGTTCTGATTGGTATTAAATGTCTTTATTTTAAACTAATCATGCAGAAAAAAGAAAAAGATATTAAAATCAAGTTAAGTATCACAATTTCATTTTTTTGTTATTAATTCTGATGGCAGGAATGACAAATGTACATGACCCGATGGCAAAAGTGATGAATTTAAAGTTTCAGGATATCGAATAGTTAATAATGCAAATAATCTTTACAGGCAATCCAGTGTAGCTAAATACATAGAAGCCAATGTACAGCTTGTAATGAGTTAAGGGCCTGTGCTGTTGATCTATGGTGGAAAAAACATCTTTCTGCTATTGCTGCTATTGATGAATTTTAGATGAGTGTTTTAATTTCAGCAATGGATAATAATGGGCATCATTAATTAGAGTTAGGAGGCACAGTGTGGCTGGCACTTTTTAAATATAGATACAATCCAAATAGTTTTACATGACAGAGAGGGAAGGTATGGTAAGCATGACACAATCATGAACTGTCACACTTTTATCACTTAAATACAGCACAGCCATTTAAAGCAGTCACTGTGGGCATTGTTAACTGTGTAAATCGTTTTTTGGGGGGAAAATTAAGTGCAATAAAAATAAGAATGTAAGAAAAGAAAGTGGTGGTATTTAATATTTAAATATTATAATATTATATTATATTATAATATTAAATATTATATTATAATAATATTATAATAATCTATATTTAATTTTCTATATGTCATTATGGTTACTATTATTGTATATGTATATGATGTCATCCTTAGTTTAAAAATTCCAGATTTTATTTCAAATACGAAAATTCACAATTTTTCAGTCTTGGGATGTGATACTGCTAAACACCTAATTAACAGCTGGAATAACAGGAATGACAAACTGTTATCACACTGAACCTGTTCAGCATTAGGAATATGTGTTGTGTCTGAAGCAAAAAGAGGAATTCTCTGATCAACATTAGAAAACAATCAGTTAGATCATAGTAAGACAAAGCAGTATTTCTCAATGTAAGCTATTCTGGAGTATGACAGGAGATATATAACATCATAATATCAATTAATTACTCCTGTTTTACATGCAGCTGTTCACTGTAGAAGAAAGTCTGTTTCTGATATTTATTGTGGATTCAGTAGAAAGCAATGAGAAAGAAGCCATTCACATATTTTGTTATTATAAACCTAATTCCATGTGGAGCACAAACTCGCATTTATCACTGAAATTGAAGTTCAGTTAATCAGAAAGACTCACATTGAATTTTGGGATATTATTTCAAGTATTTCAAGAATTTGGTGTGCAGTTTTTAAGTGTTTTTTAATATGAGTTTCTAAGTTTGCTGCTTGATAAATCAGACAATGATAGCAGAGTGCTGAAATGTGACCTTATTTATATATAAACTGTATTGTCGTCGTCGTGGTTGTGGACTGCGACTCAAAAAGAAAAAAAAAACCCTCAAACCCCCACACACTCCAGTCCAGTAACAAGCAGCAATGAGCAGGTTAAAGTCGCCATTAAAATGCAAAAGAAGAAGAAGAATCACTCCCATAATGCATTGCATTGCCAACGTATGCAAACAGGAACATGGCTACCGGTGTTTAACATCAGCATTCTTGAAAAATTATCTTCTCCCTGACCGACATAGTCTGTGATACACCAGCTTTTGCTGATCCTCCGCGACAGGAGAAAGGTCGGAGTTTATCAGTAGACTTTGGAAACAGCTCCTCGCTTCTTCGTCGGTCACAGACAGGTAACGGG